CATCGCCACCGAATCAGCAAACGAGAGATGACTGGACAGAACGTGAACTCGCACGACGGATTCGTTAACTTAATAACAGTAATTGTGCTTCCATCACGCACGAGTTAGAGCGACATCAGGATCTTATTTAGGGGCATCCAACGAGTTATTACTAGCGTGGAAAACATATGAGATCTGAGCAATGATATATTATTATGCCATTGTCTTAACAGCACTTTTTGCTTAACACATGCATGATGCCTTAATAACGCCACTCTTATTCGAAATTGAATCCCCATGGGCTCGTAATGCCGCTTTGTAATATCTATTGTATATAGCCCGTCGTTATAAGTAGACACGGATTGATATGGCAGAGAGATAATTAGGTACTAAATAATTACGACTACAGAAAAAATAATTATTGTTTCAGCTCAAGGATACGCCTCTCCATACCTTCAAATTGCGATAACTACTGAATCAAAAATCAGAAAAAAAAGATCTTGATTTTAAAATAATCGTCTTCGATTAAATAAAAGCAGAATACGATCAATAATATAACTTATATTGCTAATGAATGTAAATTTCTTTAACAACAACTTCCTAGAAGTTCTATTTCCTTCCTAGAAGTTTATAAACTAGCGTCTACCCAATTCGGCAATATTAGGCAAATGCATATAATATATCTGTATAGAAATACGTCGAATATTACAATGGACACTTAAATCATGATAACAACAAACAGCCGGGACTGCTGCATCATCTATTAGGCCGACTGGATAGAACGGTTTAGGCATACGACGATAGTGGTCAAAAATATAAAAACTGAATCCTGATTCCTGTACAATACCTTGTGCAAGGACACAGGATGTTAGGAAAGTATGAACAAACGACTTGAAGAGTAATATTCCTTTTTACAAAATCGTACATGGAATCGACGAGGCGTGTATTGTTGGTGACTCAGATAAACAACTGATAGACAGGTAGACACTAGAAAAAAGTTAGTAACCTTTAAATTAAAAGTCTGTTTATATCACCTAAATATCATCGCCTTTCGGCTCCTCACAAACACACGTTCGTCATGTATTTACCGGGTGAATTCGGTTACCAGGCACGAAACGTAACTTGATTTGAAGAAAATAGATTAGTTTCAAAGAAAGAAATCCACGCGATCCTGTCGCTTGGAAGCGCTTTGTTAACCAATGATATAGAACTCGCTAGGGAGGTTATTCAGCCTAACTAGTCTAAGCAAAAATGAAACTCTCCGAAAACAAAAAAAAAAAAAAAGTTTATGGAATTTCGTTTCATTATTATTCGCTCACTTAGGTAAGAACGCGTGTTCTGAAGTGAAGGAAGGATAGAAATAACCGACGAAATATATCAGCAAACTTCACTGAAACAAGTAAGTTCTGCTAAGATTATAAAAACAAATTGACGTTTTCTTAGAAAAGTCATAAATATTTTTCGTTTAATATTTGATTTGGTATACACGATACGATCTACAAATCTATTAGGAGAGGAACAAAAAATAACGTATCGTATAAAGGTTTATCTGCGACACTGCCGAGCCCTGGGGGCGTGTAGTTTTCTGTAGGTATTGTGTACGTGAAACTCTTTTTTTTTTGCTTAGTGACTGATACACCTGAAAAGTTAGGCAATTTTAAACACTGGATAGCGTTGTAGGCAGTATAGGACTTGATGGATGAACAGATCCGAACTGCTACTCCACGACTGCACACATCCCCAACCAGTGTCCATTATGAAAAGCTTCGTATGCATCTAAGTACTATTAATATTACCGCGAGCGCCGATGCTTCGTCCTCACTTATGTAACACTTCTTTATCTAAATAAATCTCTTTATATAAAATGACTAAAAATATAAGCGCATTTCGGCTACTGTCATCATATCAACAGATCATAAAAGGCTATATTCGGACAGGTTGACGGCCATATATGTCTCTATTTGACTCAGTTGTATCGATATTTAACGGCGACGCATGTTACGGGGAAGCGTAACATAAACTTAACCAGCTCGGTTTAGTTCTCGACTCATGTTATAGCCTATTATGGCCCGCCTAAAGGCTAAATGACGTTGACTAGACACGCCCAAGTGTATATGTACAAAGCAATGGCGATTGCATGTCCTACTGCTATCACTGAAACATTGACTGCTGTCTCCGTATTCAAAGTTGCCCTTTTAAGCTATGGCTATGATGTAAGTGGACTGGACTAGGACCAAGATAGGACCAAAGGCGAAATTCAATTTAAAGCTGTGGTTTCACTGAGGATGGAATGTGATCTTCTCTGAAATTAAGGCGGTCGACGATAGTCGAGTAGGTGGACGAAACAGAATATGTTCCGTCACCACATACAACTACCACACTACGACCATTGTCCAGGTTAGTTCATCTATAACCGTACGAGGCGGTCGAAAGGTCGGGCATGTCCCCCCGAACCACTATACTTTCAACGCGAAGTGCAGCGAGGAAATTCACTGTCACTACTGAACCAGCAACATTTTAGGCACTTCACGGGGCTTCACCCAATCACAAACTGGGACAGCAGATTGAAAAACGAAAGCGAAATATAGTTTCATAGCCCGTAAAGCAACTGCTTAGCTGGCGCATTGTTCGTTGTAGGAGAGTAGTCGATTGACTACAGTTGTCTGCGCGATGAGTTAACGCTGATACACCACTCAGCATCATGTTTCGTTCAAGCGATAACGTTTGCGTCCGAGCACTTCTTCTTTTCGTCGTATAGAATTGTGCATGACATAGCGCACTGATGACGTCGCACCGGGACACCGAGAATCTTCGCAGACAAAGAGAAGCATCTGGGTTCTGATGGTTTCGACAAGATCCATGACGCTGTCGGTCTATCTTCATTCGAAAAGTAGAAATGGCATTAAGAGTTTGTGCCAAGCGCCACATAATGAGTATATATAGCACTATATAGCACTACACCATGCTATTAGGTAAGCAGTCCAAACGGCACTAAGTGTAGAATGTCATCGAATTTATGGGATATTATTGAAGACGTGTAGAAAGAAACACAAAAACTTCCGATAGTACGTATCCGCAGGTATGAAGATTGCCGTGGCTAGAACGTAGTTTTGCAAACTGGACACCTTTAACTTAATGGGACACCTTCAACATGGGTGTGCGGACTATACCACAAGAGCTATACCATTGTTTTGAGATCTAAGCTCGGAGCACTCCACTCGGCCGTCGTGGCCTGTACGCATTGGTAGAAACGCCACTGGAACAACAGTCAAATTCTTTAGTTTTAATGTACTGGATTTATGAAATTTCGATGTCTCGCAAAGTGTGTCTATAATTGTGCAAAGTAGTAGTACTATATACTGTGTCCATACCTTGGCCCGGACGAGGTTTGATATATAGACAAAAGAAGCATTTTATTTGCTGGGAAATAGATTACTATTTTTCTTCGAGTCGATATTTAGATCTTCAACCAGATAATACTTCGATTCGTACTCATGGCATCGATAACACACATCCATGTCAGTGAGATTCATAACAAACTGTATACTACCCTACGACAGATGGCGCTATATATAGGAGAATTATTACGGACATTTCATTTGGCCAAGCTTTTTAATCTGCGACAGAACCCAAATAAAATAAAGTACATTTTGCCAATACCACAATTGTGCCACTCTTCCCTCTCTGAACGTGTTTTTTTGGATACAGGCCAAGCTTAAGGAACTTTTTCGCCTGATGATTTGTTGAAACAGACTTGTTCGGTGGTGGTCACCATATCAGAGGCGTCGTCATCGAACTGGATTCAACTTGCTTCCATTCTATTCGACCTTACTTACTTAAAGCAACTCTACTACAAACTATAGCAAGGCCCTACTTCATTATTTTGTATGAGGAGTTTGCCTCTAAAGTCGGGTCTACGCCAGAACGGGCTTGGAAAGCACCGATAGCGTGGATCCATTCGCGAACCGCTGTTTTCTGATGTCCTTATAGCGCCGCTGGTTTACTCGAACAAGACTGAAGTCGGATGACTCAAGTCCGCGCAAAAATAGTCCATTATGGTCGAATTGAAAACTCGTTCCCCGCTTGAGCGATGCTGCTTGGCGGTGGATCGTTGTAGAAATAACGCTTTTTACTCTCTTCGCCAGAAGCACTACCCGCGGCAGCGGCAATGGACATTATGGCAGGCTACCTGTCTTTCTTTCGTTTCATTGTCACCTCCCTCTCGATCCAACGTTCCTGCCCCTCAGTATTGTCCTGCTCCATCGAACGGCCGCAGCGCAAACTTCCCATGAGCAACGTGCATGTTTTGTTCAGCGGTTCTGTACGCACCGCAGATCATAGCACGGCAGAGCGCGATGAACGACTGGCTGATCTCTCCATTTGTTGGTGCGTCTCGCGCACGCTGCTTGCTTTCAGCAGACGAACGAATTACATCTCCGTTAACTGACAGGGCCATAGCGGCAATAGCTGAGGTCGATCCTAGGCACAGAATTTCTCTGTGCTGCTACAGGGTTGTAGCACTTCTCGGCCTTTTCGAGAGTGTCTACCCGAGCCCATATAAGTATTCTCCGAAAAAAGGAGCACGCAGTAGAGCCTACGCTTAGTACACGTGGAGCACTGGTGTAGTATGAAAAAATCGATCTTTTTTTTTCTTATCTCTTTGGCTCCTCTAGAGCATTTATCTGTTTACGTCTACGAGCCCCGGCCAGAATTCACCGTGATGTCAAAAATTGCGCTATATTAAAGACGGTTCATTCAAAGGAACTTGATAAAGGATCGTTCGTAAATGATCAACCCTATAATAGAAAGTAAATTTATGTTCCGAAAATAAATAAGCCGAATTTCAGAAAAAACACCTGGGAAAAGAGTCGTCTCTACGCTATTCTGTCTATACTTATGTTTACAATACCTAATAAAAAGACTCGTTCGCAGAGAGTTTAGTTTTCCTTAGAGACACAGCCTCTTATTTACTTCATTTTTCTTTTCGTTTTATTATTTTTATCATTTTATTAGTAATTTTATTTTTCGTATTTTTCTTTCTTTTAATACAATAATAATGATAATAGCCATATGAATTAATATTAAAATATTACATTGACGTACAATTAACAGTAATTTATTCAACATCGTGATTATGGCTTTGTTGAAACTTTTCAAGCGAAGACATTGGTCGATTTACTTACACCACCTTCATTCATCATCACCACCTATTTCTTATTCTGCTACTGACAATATTGTTACTATGATTTTCATTTGTGAATTGATACTTGAAGATCTACTTCATTGAAACATTGTCTGCTGTACTTTATTCCATTTTTTTTCTATCTGTATGTATGTATGTATGTATGTATGTATGCTAAAATAAATACAAAGTCTGTATCTTTGTGTATGGCTGCGTATGTTCATTTGTGTGTGTGTCTGTTTGTGTTTATCCGGCCATCAAAAGTTGACTCTAAGTCGCGTAAGTGCTCGGTACATTAACCATCTATTTTAACAACGTAATTCACGAGAACTTTAACGGATACATTGTCTATTATATATAATCTGGAAGGTTCATTATACGATTGTATATATATTTATGTATATTCGTTTGATGTCTATGATACAAAAAGCGATTCCGCTCAAGTGTCTGCCCGCCAGTAGAAACGAAAAGCCAGGCTCAAGGACAACGGAGATCGACAATAAGCACCATCGGCGTGTCCATGTTGGAAACAAAGCGAACAAATACGTAGCCCTACGCTTCGTTCGAAGACACGCTTTTATCTGCAGCAATTTTCTATTTTCATCAAGTTTGTTATATAACAAGTCTGTTTTTGTCCCATGTTTATCTTCGACTTGACCTACTTACATAAGCATCTGCATTTGCATCGTTAAGTCTTTCTTCGTCTCTCCATTTCTACACCGTCAGAGTCCACTTTCTCTAGTCACTCTAGCTCTAATCTTCACACTTGTTGTCTTCTCGTATTTTCTTTTTATATAAATAATAAATACTTGCCTATTATTTTATATCATGTACTAATACATTTATATTTACAGATCGTGTATGTGTTATGCGTGTGTGCTTCGATGATTATTAGATGTCAGCCGTTTTGACTACACCGCCGATCATTTGAAAAGCATAATTATTATGGGTAATATATATAAGAGAGGGAGGGGGAGAGAGAGGGAGGGGGAGGGGGAGGGGAGAGAGATGGGGAAAGGGAAAGAGCTATTTTAAAGACTAATTTACAAATTAAATTTGACTGTTTTTCTTATCATCTAGCGAGTGGCGTGTTCTTACATTTTGTCAACAGTGTCGTAAGAACGTGCTCCTCGTCTTTATTAGAACGTAAACGCCCTAACTTTAGGTTGTGTGCTAAAGAGCACAATCGACTTATGCTGCTAGACTATTATCATCAGCTTTATGAAGCTTTCCTAAAGGCTCACTAGACGCTACGGGAACGGCGGTTTTGCTTTGGTTAGCGCCGCTACTGTTTCCATTGGGCAAAGCGGACATCTGGTGAACTGGAATTGTTTCCGAGACGGTGGCAAAACTCGCCGGTGAAGCTTCTGATGTCACGGGCAAAGCTGACTCCGTTCGTTCGACGCCGTTTGGTTCCTCACTTACATCTACATGAACTGGGGAGCTTGCTACGGAAGGACTCAACGCCGGTGGACTCGGCCGGCCTATAATTGAAAATATTCATATCATAGTTGTTTAGCCACTTAGAATGATCATTCAGTTACAATACAGCAACGGCTGGCTTTAAGCATACCCAGGGGGAGAGAGACCGGGATCTGACCAGATCGTAGAATCGTTTTAATGGAAAAAGTTGTCAGGACACTCTCACAAATCATGTTGTGGTACGGACGTAAGACTATCAAGTAGATCGAGCATTCAGTACAACAAAAAAACAGGTGAAAATTGACACTTACTGTCAGGATTTTCGATCACAGTCTCTTCGTCATTGTCATCATTGTCTGTCAGGAACTCGTTGTTCAGCGGACATTGTTGACAGCGGCCTTCATGAAGACCATAGTTGAGGCAAGTACTTCCCACACACTCGCAGCACCCATCGTGAAACCATCTGCGCACATAAACGAGAACAGGCAGCAGCGTTAGAGCATAATGACTAGAAATACCGGTCGCTATTCTATTGCTAGTAACGAATACCTACTAAACGAACTTTTTACGGCGAGAAGGCACATCAGCCATTCATAGGGCACCACTGCAGAGACGTGATCACCGTGCTAATAGAAGTGATAAACGGATAGCGATGATGCTTACTACATAATGCAAGTGTACAAAGTAAACCTTCTCGCATCTGATGGATTAGCGTATTTTAGTCTTTTAGGACAACTGTCCAGTACTAGAATAAGACAGAAATCAGTTTATTCCCGCCCCGTCAGTCACACGTTAAGAATTATGAATCTAGTTTTACTTCTACATTCTAGTTCTGGCATTTATTACGGTTAGGCAATCTGCTTGTCCATATCCATTCGTTGTTTGTGAAACCATATCTCTACTGACGTAGCCCCTCTCACAGGGTTGCCTAATTGCTTCGGCATCTAGGTATTCTTCTCGAAGGAACAAGCAAACGTATGCCTTACTCTGTCTACGTGTCTAGCCCACCGGCCGTGGCGTTATGTCGTCTCGCTCATTCGAGATCTCTTCACCAAGAGAAGATACCACCAAATCGCTTTAATCTATTCGGGTCTCGCGTATTCAACAGGTTCAGCTCAGGATAGTACCTGTACACTTGTTTATGCTCTGCCGCTGCAGGCCCAGAGTAACGTACGGGGAAATGTATTACAATTATATAGTTTTTATACCCGTCCATTAAAATAAAGCTGCTTATCTTCGTCACTAACACAAGGAGAATATGAGCGAACGTCTCACGGCATTGACAAGATTCTCCTCATAATAGGGGGTGAAAGTTCGTATGGTACACACAGGAAGTTAGTTGTGCCATAACTATATAAGTGTAGTTTTTTGTCGATACTTGTTGCTCACCTGTAACTAGTGGCGCCAAGACTCATGCAGTTTTCGCGACATTTGTTTAGCGACAGGCAGGGCTTCATGAAGGCAACAGTACAGTTGACGTCGTCGGCTTTTGTATTCGAATCATACGTGGGGTTGATGTTGATCGGTGATGGCGTCGAGTCGATCGAATCATTTATGCCAACTGGATGCGGGATGACTGTAAAAAGAAAAAGATCCTTATCTCACTGCATGACAAACACCCCCCAAGGCCAGCCTATGAAAACCTAAATGCGTCCATTCATTGGTTGTGCTTAAAAATTCAGCAAAATGTCTATGTCACGAATGACTTTGTATGTATATGCTATGTCGCTTATGTTTCATGTGTTTGCAAAAATCTCTCTACCTTGGATGCGCATACTCAGGCTGAGATTAAACTACTACTGAACAAAACTATTTTATGATGACTAGCGTAGTAATCATGTTACGTTAGCTATTCGAACGCGTTCGTCGCTCGGGTCCCAATAGGCAGCAAAGAGCTAAAACTCTAAACAAGACGAAGGGTGACGATACAAATTTGACGACGACGACGGCGTCTTTTTTATGTTTGGTGATGATACTGATTACGTACTGCTGACAAAGTGTATGTCCTTGTTGAGTCCGATGACGGTGTGATGCGCTGGAAAAGATAGGGACGTCCAGCGCCCCTGTGACGCATCGACACTTTCCATGAGCAACTGGAATAGCTCCGGAATCGGGTCTGGGAGATCTTCGACGTTTGATTTTTGACTCAGCGAAAACTCTCTATTATCTTTTCGGCAAACATCTAATATCAAAGGGGCAACACAACAAAAATGAACGACAAGATTGAATAAATACAATGCTACTTGTTTCAGCGATGGGTGATCATTTGCTGAAAGGTAAATTTTCTTTGGGTATAGCCATAGGCACAGACGAAAGCTGTCTTTTGTGCAAGGGCCAGCGTATTGTTGAGTACGAGCAACGCAAATTAATCAACGAATACGATATTTGAACACTGCTTTAAAGAGGCTAGGTTATATCTAGCAATAGAGGCAGTGTTTGATAGACGCTCTATAGGCGTGAGTTCTTTTTCTTTCTTATTGGAACAAGGCCAACATACACGCACACACGGTATAGCGTAGTTTATCTCACCATTGGTTAAACCGATCCTAAAAGGGAAAATACTTTAATAAATAATGGCTACCTGTTCGAAAATGTTTGAAACGTCGTTAAGTAGATATTCTGTTCAATAATATGATACAGTATGGAACAACGCGCTCAGGGGATTATGGTCATCAACCATAACCAAAAGATATACCCTTTAAATGCGTCGGTGTTAGCAAAAATCTAAAGCTATACTATATATGAGAAGCTTCTACATGTTGACCTTCAGGACATATGATTGGGTAAAAGGCACTGATTGTGCGAGTGAACGTACCAACACAAGAACAGCAATCCGTGTACAGGTAGTCGAGGCAGTAGAAACAGTCTTTAGCGCAGGTGATGTTGTTTCGTACAGGATCTGGCCCACATTTACACGATTGGGTCAGGAGGCATTTTGATACGACGCTTCCACAAACTGACTCATTACAACCATGCGGCAACGTCTAAAAATTCAGAGAATAAAAGATGTTACTAATCGCATAGTTCATTTGTAACAATGGTGAGAACAACGTAGTACGAAACATTACGGCACAGTCGCGTCTACTACAAACGCGGGAGTAGTCTCATTCGGGGTAGAAATAACAGGTTCGGGAGAGATCTATTGCGTAGCATGCGGCCGTATTTGCACGACATTGAAAACGTGTGGAATACAATTCTTCACTCGTCTCAACTTCCACAGTTATCCAATAACAGCGTTAAAGTGCACGGGAAAGCGTTATCAAATATGGCTGTACAAATTAGCAGATTCTTAATTGACCTTACAAGTAACACCGTACCAGTTTACGCAATACCTTTGAAGGCCCATGCAATCAGAGATGGACAAATGTAGTCCACTATCATCGAACCTATATATATAAACGCTTACCGGTTTTGTGGGCTCGGCGGTCGCTACCGTCCGAGCGTAAAAGCATATGCAGACGATGACTAAACAGCCAACAAAATAGGCCGCGGGTCGACATCGGCTGGTCATTTTCGGGCGTTGATCACTGCGGCAATCTCTGAAAGTGACCAGACAGAAAGATGGCACAATAAGCATAAAGATAGTCAAAAAGTTCACTCGTTCTCTCACTTAGACAAAGCTGTCGATGATTGAATGCTTAATGCTTAAACCAAATTAAATCTCTTCTATTTCGAGCTCTTACTGCCACCGCTTTCAGCTGCCTGCTTTAAGCAGGTAGTGGACAATTGCTAGTGAAGGCAAAACGGAAGATGAAGCCCAACTAAAGAAAACGATCAGCCGCTGACTGCTTCAGCCTTTCGGGGACTCACGTCATCGACGCGAAGCGGGACGTTAGCGATCGACAAGAAATAGACTAAGGACCTCCCCAATGTTATCACCTGCTGCCGCCTGCTTATCATGTCTTGAACGATGCGCTGTCCGACGTGAAGATGGCATCTTGCTTGAAGATGACTGAGCCGCTGCGTTTTCGTTTCGAGGCTTAGAATTGACGAGGAATAACCGGGTGCGTGTCCTTGTCGCGCGAATTCGTAGTGAAATGGCTAGCACAGCAGAGGATTGCAGACGGTGCCTCATTTCCTATTTAGTAGTATCCCCCTACACCGCGCTGTGCGTAGTAAATACGAAGTATAAAGCTATCGTATTTTCAGTCCGCTTACCTTCGATTCAATGGCTAGCGATCATTTTGCTGCTGTCTCGACTGCTTTTCTCAATATCGAAACGGACCACCTCGGTTGAAGAATTCAAACAAGAAAATCTGCTGTTTTTGCCATTTCTCTTGGAGCATTGACAGAGACATTATATTTTGTACGTAGCCAGCATTGGCCAAATAACGGGGTATGCTTTATTGATGACCAGTAAAGGAAATATTACGAACATCCACACAAATGTGTACATCTATCGCTGGACACATGTCGTTGCTGGTTGTACTTTGCATCAGCTGAAATTTCTTGTAAGTCCTGCTACTTGGAAACTCGAATAGTCCTGCAGCGACGACGTGAGACTGCGTACGGAATATGGTAGAATACAGAAAGAAAATTTGATGTACAGCAGTACAGGAGCGCCACGGTGACTCGCCATATTGGCTTCACCACTGCCACCAGTCGGAGTCCTTAATTTGTGCAATCACGGTATCCCGTTTGTAATAGTCGCCGTCGTCACAGTGGGCGTCGGTTAGGCCGGTTTCATGTTTATTCGCACCCTGCACTGTTAATCAGTCTGTCTGAGAGCCAGTCACCTCGCATCTGAGCAATATGAGTGCCGCTGCTCCGCCCTCGAGAGCTTGAAGTCTTGAAGATTTTCGCACTTCGAAGAAGTTGCGGGTCTGCGTGAGCTCGGGTGCCTGTCGTCTGCACTCAGTAGTCGCAGACATTGAGCTAGTAATCGTTCATCTCCGCAGAAGCTCAAGGGGTTGAAGATCGGCCCCACAGCGGCTGGACGCCCGTCTAATGGTGAAGTATACGTGGGTGGTTGGATGAATGTTTTTGCGCCGAGTAAGTGTTTCATTATGATATGTGTCCCGTCTCGCCGGCTAGCAACCGTCATCAATATGGGGGTGAGCTTGGGACTCAGCCGAAGATCAATACGGGATTCCTCCTGGCGCCAGCGTACTGGGATTGGCTGGCCTCTCACACGGTATCCTACATCGCGTACAAAAGCACTATACCGTGTACTCCAAGACACTAACGAGGTGTAGAGGCACAGCGGCGAATCGACGTGACCGGCCTAGCAACTTACAACAATGAGACATCGGGAGATCTTTAAGCAGCAAGAGTTAAAGGGGAATGGGGCGGGGGCGGGGGGACAACTCCTCGACAGTAACACCTTCCGCCTGAACATCAACCCCTCACCGCCTCTCGTGTACAGCAAACCAAACTACCGAGAAACAAATCGTGCTGGAATCGCTTCTACACTCGCCCTGTCGTATACACGCGTCAATGGCTAGGTCAAACTTGTCGACGCATCTTGCCTGCTGCGTGGAAGCTCAGCCTATAACATACAAATGACTATCGTCAAAAAGCTTCAATTAGCCTGAGTTAATCCGTTGGCCATTGGCATTGTTTATCGGTTTACAATGCTGATCGGCCAGTATAATCGGATGGCTAGTGAACCCATCTGCCGATTTGCGAGTCATCTCACCGCAGTGATGGCGGCAGATCTCTTGTCGCTCACTAATCCGATCCAATAGCAAGCGCGTGCGACTCGGCCTAGCTTGGCCCAGGGAGCCTCGGGTGATCTTCAATGAACCCTTCGCTAATAGTTCCCTGATCCAAGTAGTATAGCTGTACGCAAATATTTGTCTTAGCGCGATAGTCCGTATGAAGTGTTCCGAAACGCTGATTGTAAGGTGGTACTCTATTGTGTATACAAACAGATCTGAACTAGACATCAAATTGACGCTGCAACGGCCGAGTGACGCATGGCAGCTTCACCAGTATAGATGTTCTTACAGTCAGATCAACGCTAAAGGATAAGGATATCCTTAAGCTAAATTTACTGAAGTCACCGCTTGTATATCGGCTCGTAAACAGTGTTTTTGAGGTCAGTGATCGATCATTATAATATCATAGTCGAGGTATCATGTTAAAATGGAATACTTTCAAGATTATTATTTCTGTTATCAGATAATGTTGCTATTATTTTATGGAGTTGATTCTTAAATAATGTCTCGACGATGGAAAATATCTAGCAAAGAAAGACGGATCATCGTCATCTATACAATCTCATCTTTACTGTGTACAAGATGCTGGCCAAATGTAAGCGCGTAAGTGTTCTTTGCGTCAGATGGTGGAAATAGTGATCTATTTCCAAGTGCTGGCTCTCAGGAGTCAGCTGTTTCTGGCGTCATCTGTATTGGCGTCATCGCTCGAAACGCTACTGCGATGCCACCCACACCATTGACTTCGTACGATGAAGTATGCACTCTCCACCACGATGCCGCGCAACAGTAAATTTTCATATAACTTCATCTGGATGCTTTTTGTTGTTTGTCGCTTGCATAGATCGACACGACCTTCGTGTAATCTAAAGTTGTGCAACTGCACAGATCCTTTGCAGACGTGATAGGCAAGGGGCCGTTTGCGGATCCTTACTTATCGGGTATTCGGCGGCAGGACCTCAATAAAGGCTATGACATAAGTGACAAGCATCACATTGTCATCTATGATTGAAACGCGCTCCTGCTATGATTAGTATAACTATAGTAACCTACTATAATGCTGTTTTATTTTGCACTTTCTATATTTTTAATCCTCGAAACACTTCCATCCGTCTGTAGCGTGTGTGGTGTCTGTGTTCATGCTCCTGACGTGCAGTGGTTCCTTTCTTTCTACGGCCCCTACCTCGAGGACTATTCTTCTCGTCTATTGTAGATCATAAGGATACTATCTTTAATCATTTGCTGGTCATTGTGGCGCGATATCAAGCTCGTACAGTGTCCTATAGTGATTTTTCGTTCTCTTCCGGTAGAAAGGTTCGTTTAGATGCCGATGCGGGAACCATCTCCTACCATCAGGTAGAGAGATGTCCCAGAGATAAACGCCTAGATAATGACAGAAAAAAGAAGCTTTGACAACACTCCCAACCCCAGCATTTCTGCTGCGTGAAAATGTACGGGACACATCTGTACTGGTGTTGTGCTCCTATTCGCTATACATTTTGCTAAAGGGATTCGGCAGCAGGGAAATAGGACAAAGACAAGGCCTTTTTGCGACGACTGAAACTGTCCACTTCATGTCATACGCATCAACTTCAAATTCAGCCACTTCGACGTTGTGTTAGCGCCGATATCTTTTCACGACCAGAAATTATTATTGTGAGTACTATTATTATTGTCGTAGCAGTAATTGTTGTTTAAGAGTCGTGAGAAAAAATAACCTGACCAAAGTGCTATTTTCTAGCATGAATACTAACTCTTTGGTTGAGGGGTAGATGAGCTGTTGTTTTGCAGGATGCTAATGGCGATGTCCGTCCTGCTAGCGTCGACGTCTCGGTCGGGTGTACGAGATATCTCTCAAACAAAGATGGGAATCGTGATTGGTTGGTAAGGTGAACAAGACTGCACGCTATCACACGTCGTCGTCGTCGTCGTCGTCGTCGTTTTTCCACCACTCACCGACGACTAGCAGTGCAGCTATAGGTGTCGTGCTAACAAAACAACTCTGATGGAAATAATATTATTTCGCTCCCCTGCTGTTCATCTTAACGGTTCTTTCTACAGTGTCAACATAATAACGATGACGGTGACGGGCGATACGCTAAGCAACACTAAGCTACGTTCGACCGTCAAAGCGGGATGAATGAACGGCTCCTTATTGGCACGCACTTTGTCGTTGTCTATCAATGAATCAATCAATCGATCGATCGATCGATCGATCAATCAATCGACTCCGCCAGTCAACGCTAATTCGTCTGCTTTTCTTCTGCAGAAGTACGTCTATAGACGCACAGGCCTACGCGCACCTCTACTTCACATTGACGATGCGCGACACTAGCACAACAACATGGCTGATTCGTCCCCTTCACGCGCGCTCTCCCTGTTTCTCGCACACGATCACTTTCTCCTTTATTCTAGCACTTCTCCTATTCTACTTTGTTATATTTAATAGCTAAAACGCGTCACGATCGCTCCTTCTACCTTCTTTACTATTCGGCTCTGTCGCTGGCTATTGGGCGGCTTAAGCATGCGCGCAAGTGCCGCACGCTTCCAGACGTTCGTCGCGCTGGCGTATATCGCCGAAACAACACTTTTCTCTAACACTGGCTCAGTGATACCTAAATAAACACCAGAAGCACCAGCATTGGTTGTCGATCAGCACCGGGTAGCTAGCAGTGTCCAGAGAATAGAGAACAAAGACGTTAAGGTCTTCTCTCGCTCCCTGTCTTAGCTCTTTTCTATCTCCAGAACTAAATGGTGGGATAATATCGCGCACCGTCTGCTAGGACGGCAACAGTCGACTATGGGCCGTTGCTGGCGTGGCTTTACCGTGTCGGTCGTTAGTCGCCAAGACGCTAGGGCTGCGGATATTTTTGGGACAAAGAGGTTTCCGATCAGCCGGCCAACTGCCGACTTGTCCGCTCCCGTCGTTGCTCTACCGCAATCGTTCCTTTTCCCTAAGCTTCTTCTACTCGAGCGACTACAGCGCGCATTGCTGTTCGACTGCGTTATAGAGCACCTTTCGCGTTTCGATCGAGCGCACCAACTCAGCTAGCTAGCTAGCTAGCTAGCCAGCCGTCAGCGTCAACAGCGATAGTAACACTACTAGGACCGACGTGACCGTAAACACTCTTCCCACAGTCAGCGACGCTCTCTGATAGAACAGAATAGGACGGAATGGAAATTAGGGAACTGGTCTGTTTCAGCGCTGCTAATGAAACCTCTTGAGCGTCCGTGTGAGTCAGGGCGTATTTGTTGCACCGTTTGTTGTTAATGGCTTAGGCAACGGATGGCCAGCGGACGTGCCTCTGTTAACGGTGCTACCTGCTATCGCAAAGTCTGCTCAGTCGACCGGTAGATGCACTGTGTTTGTATGTGGGTGCTCTACCGGCATCGCCAGTCTGAGGTCGTCGAATTTGCCTGTGGCTACTGTATAATCCTCCGTCCCTGCTATTGTCGTTCCGTAGAGCGTCGCAATAGTTCAGTATTGCTCGTGCCTTTTGAAGCTCTCCCACTAGAGAATTCTCGCGGTATTTTGTGTTCACGTTGCTCACAATTACTGCCAGCATTAGCTTTCGCACAGATCTCTAATGCACACTGGGTGAGGAGTTGCGTGATCGTCGTCTTGCTCGGTCGGTGTTGACAGGACCCCCGCTTCCGAAATGTATAGGTCGGCTGATTGCTGCGCTTCTTGTAAAAGAGTATGTATTTACCAAATGCTGCGCATTTGTATTTTTACCAGCTAACGACTGTCGTTGCGCCTGTCATCGTTTTCGTCACTGGCGAATCCGGTAACAGCCGATTATTAAAAGACACTGCACTTCGCGGAATCAATCACTAGGCCCGTTGTTCGGCCTTTAAAGGCGTGTTGCTGCAACTTTCCTCTTCGATGTTGTCTAAACAGTCAGTGCTATGGCAGGCTCACAGACCCATCGTTTCTCCATGACACACGATCGGTCCTATTCATAATTTATGTTACTACAGTATGCACGAAATTAATGAAGCTGTATGAAATCGGCCTGTAGTAACTCGTCTACACTCGATGACACCTTCGTCGTTGATGAACTCTTGCTTTGTATTCGTCCGCGCACGCACCCAGACGCCAGTGAGCCTGTGACTGCGGCTGCAATTTGCCTGCAGGCGGAACTCGCATCGAATATCGCGTATCGTCGTGAGCTAAACAGGAATAAAGCCGAGTGGAGAGGGCCTGCACGCTCCAGTCCGCTACCCTCTCCGCAGAATAACTGAGCAGTCGCATTAGCGAACGACGTCTGTTGCTAGCAGCGATCCAGGAACGATCACGAATGGACAGAACGGCGCGATCGGTAAATCAGCTTGATCCCTTCTTCTACAAACTGAGTAGGTAGCGTTGTTATTGTTTGCATCGCTGCTGATGGCGACGCTTAGACATCGGGTTACTGCTGCAGAGTCTCCGTCGTTGAGTGCGACCTCTGCGGTTATCGGATGTTGGCTTGCTATATTGTACAGATAACCACAGCGATCGGTGGCCAGTTGCATCAATCCAATTGCACCTGTAAATTGTGTGAGTATTGCCACTGTCTAAGAGGAACCTAATTCGTCACGAGCCGATGTTCCTTAAAGTGAGCCTCGACTAGGTTTAGCCAGCCAGGGCAAAGTCTATACGTAGGCAAGGCTGATCAATGCGCATCGGACAAAAGTGATCGCCTTTGGAAAAATCATTGAGCACCGGCGCTGGTCTGAAGTGGTTGTTTTCTAAATCAGAACAAGGTCATAGTAAACTAATTGAAAAGTCGTTTTTCCCTCATAAATTCATTTGAAATACTTTCTCGTGGCCAGCAAGTACATGACAGCTGGAATGGACAACTGCAGGACCTGTGAGAGGGCTTGACGACCCATCTGGTACGCTCGTTTCCAGACCGTATGCAACGATCAGCACAAACGGCTTCCTATTATAGCCGTCAATAGTCGTAACTTAATTTCCACAGACTTACTGTAATTACACACAGACTTAACGTCCCGCGCTTTAGCTATGTAGAACTGATCATGTTGCTTTGATAATTAGTTAAGGAAATACTTATAGCAACCGATCGTTGATGATGTATAGGTAATCAACAAATGAGTTTTCAATGGACGATGAAACGACGAGTAGGCGACGTGATTCATTTAGCTGAGGAATAGTTCCTTGAATGCTTTTTCCGGTCCTTCGGCGACCGGTGCTCGAAATTCTGCCATGTTGTGATCGTGCCGTTTCATAGGTCTGTTGGAGGAAAAGCTAGCTAGTACCGGCGAAACCCGTTCGAAGTAATGATGCCTAAGAGTTTAGCTAGCTGTCGGAGAAAATAAATATTTGGTACGCGTCGAAAACGGCATATCTATAATAAATAGGTGGAGTCGTGTACGTATCAGCAAATTGTAAAGATTGGTCAGATGGCTCTCTCTAGCGATAGCTTTCTCTCTTTACATTTTAGTCCGCTGCTAATGAATGGTGCTTAACTATATCGATCCATGCTACGAATCTCCTCGGAATTGTTTGCAGTCACGCATACCGCTATACCACATGAACGCGCACGATCAGCATAAAAAAAAGCTAGTTCGTACTCCGTGTCTATGACCAGAGTCATCAAAGTTGCTTCATGCGTTGTGGTACGTAAAGGCGATCCGGATGGCTGCAAAAGACCAGGTCACAGCAGTTCGTCATCCGATAGGCTGGTCGTAGATCGTCGCCCAAAATAGCAGCGAAAGTAACAACTCAAAGTTAGAACGCGTAGGAAATGGCCCCTAGGTTTCCGATAGGTACTGATTAGCTAACAACGCAATAAGGGTTAGTTACGAAGATGGTCCGAGACTTTTACCTTGCAGACTGCACTCAGCAAGTTCAATTTATTATCGATCATAGTAGAAATACTGTATTCTAATGTGGTTTGCTAAAGCGCTGAACCTAACCTTCAAGATCGATCTTCATGAGGCAATCAGCGATGCTTCTAATTTCCTAAAATCATATACTATCTGCTCGTAATACGCTATATTTGAAATTCATCATGTCACAGACAGTATTATACCTCATTGATGGCATCACGAGTCTATATTACACCTTGTCGAAATAAATTTGACCTCGATTTTCCCTATTCACTTCGATGCTTCAATAAAACTTATTTCAATCGTGATCTGACTCAATAACGAGGGCAGATTAATAGTCGTAAGGTGAGAGCTGTCGCTCACAGCCTGACATGTCGTTAATAAGAATCACGTGGGAAAAGGGTTAGTTTAATTAGCAGATAAAGATTTCTACGATTGTAAGCGTCAATATTAGCTACGCTAGAAATAAATCGTTTACGTAACGAAGTACTAGAAGCTTAGAAATCCCGCCAAGATTGTTATTATAGTTTCAATTGAAGCATAGTAATTTGGATAACGTGCTCTTCATTTTGGACATCGTTTGCTAAGTTCTTCTCCGCAAGCTATATTCAAGTGTCACCTTAAATAAGAATAATTGAATACTCAGTAGCCAGTCCATAGACAGGTGGAACTATACTTCAATCCATCTTTACAAATAATTCTGTCCATATGGACGTCTATAGATTACTTCCTATGAGCAAGACGAAACACCGAGCAATTGGCGATAGATCAACGATTTTTTTTTTTTTGCAATTTACACAAGCCATCGTTGAACTTTATTAGAACACGGTTAACCGAATTTCGATCCGATTTAGCCCAAGCAAAATTCTGGACAAATCTCTTTGTTTATTTCGAAGGCTTCTGCGACGATCATCCGTAACATTTCTCCATGCCGATGCCCGCTGTCAGCATCCGTCCTTGGTTAGCTAAGCCAACCCCTTAGCGACATGCTACCAATATCGCAAGTTCTCAGTAGGTTTTCCAAAAGTTCCAAAAAAACCTTACTCATCAATGTTTATTAATAGATGAATTAATGGTTGACCGTATTTAACATATTACCTAAACAGTTTTCGGTTATTAGAGGAAAAGGCTGCTGTTACAATAATTTGGCTATAACGACTCGGAACTTCCGTATTAAATTGAGAAATAAGTGATATATGAGCTAGCTCATAGTCAAGTGATCAAATATCCTAAGTTCCCCGATGAAAATTAGTTGCTGTCAAGTTTCAAGCGTCGTTGGACCGGTGACTTCATTCGGCTGCATTCGATACGAGGCCTACAACGGAACCATTTTCCACTTTATTGGTACTTACTTAAACGGTAATCTTAGCGAAATTTTTTCTAAAATTGTCCCGGCCTGTATATTTTCCCAACTTTATTTTACCAAGTTGTCAAAAGCCATTTATACCGCAATTTTACACCGCAATGCGCAACACAAATAGACAAAACCGATATAAGGTCAACCACAAAAGCCCGCAGTTTAACAAATCACGACTTTTTTTTGTCGTTTTTATCTTAGCTAATTGCAAAAAGGCAGAATGGTAACGGACAATACTCTTGGATTTGTCTCGTTTAGGTGAATGCGGCCATTTGTGTATGCTGTTTAAAGTATCTACTCGAAATGAAGTACTCTTTTTTTCAGGAAGCCAAAAAATATTCTAACAACAAGCAAAGTACTACGAGGAGTACCGCTCGTGTTTTTTCGACTCTATGGACAAACGGCTTATGAAAAACGCCGCCTTTTTGTTGTGCCCTACAAAAAGAAGGTTACTCACGTTTGCCGTCGCTCACATCGCTGACAGGGTTGCGCCCCTCTCTGGGCTCAGTCAGTGGCGAGGAACTTCTTAGCCTTCGATTAGCCCGATGAATCAAAGCTAGGAATCTTTATTCAGGTTGTATTGGGCCTGCCTGGTTCAAATCCGCCAGCCGGTGAGATCCGTGTGAGTGAATTTATATACATGTATATACACACCAAAAATTGCAGTTGCCATTTGTCCTTCTCCTTTATCGATTTTTCGATGATATTCACGGTTAACTTGTTTTTGAGCGTAAGACGGCGGGCATAACTCGAATGACACATCTTTTTCAAACACATCTTTGTCGATGACTTCAACAGGAAGCACTTCATAGGAGTTTCAGCGCGACACCCTTGTGTATTGTAAGTAAGCAAAAACCGCCGAGAGGTTCTCGACTCCTCGAGAGCTTTCGGTCATTATCGCATCTTAGTGCCCTTAAGAATAAGAGCCGCTTCGGCTGGCCTAGTGCAGTATAGTAGCAACCTCAGCAACTTCAAGCCAGAAATTAGAATGTGAGCTATTTGCTGTCGTCTGGCCTAGGTTGTGCTCGCCTCGTTCGATCAATCGATAGTTGATGTCGTCCATAGAACACACTGGCGGCGTCATCCATCGACATCGTGGTTATACTAAACAGTATAGCATTTAAGGAGGCAGTGTTTAGGGCCCCGAGGAAGCTGTGGACGAGAATCGGATCTCTACCAAGAGCGCAAAAAAAAAAGAGAGAAAATCATTTCGCGATGCCTGCTGCAACCTGCCACTTAGGACCAACTATTTAGACTCATCTCATGAAACGATACGCGGGCATTCTGTGACGACAGAAGTTGACTGAGCTACCTACTGTAGTATTAACAGTAGCAGGCCTAGGCCACACCCTGACGGCCATCCGCATCACGCCGTTCCCACTAATAGTCGATGCTTGTAGACTGTTCATTCATGCGCATCTTGGACGGAGTAAGTAGGTGGTGCAGGAAATTCAAGAATTAAACGGACCGCTGCTGTTAATGCTACGAATTGCAACTGCTCGCTACGAGTCTCCGCAGGTCCATTGGACAGCTTGCAAGGATCAGGTCCAGATTCACAAGCGCCTTTGAGCATATAGCTCTTCTTCGCCCTCTTCAACGATAGCTATAGGTAGTATGTTGCAGATGTAAGGATTCGTTTAACGAATTAAGGGAACGTCAACAAGTGCCTTAAATACTTAGATTCTTTGAGAAGGCTGGCAATTTATCCTTTCTCTTCCTCTGTATTTTTAATTGAAAATAGAGAAATCGGTATATGGCACGAGATAAAAACGATACCTTAGAGCCATATTTTGCTGTAGTCTTTTGTTTCGGCCAGATATGTGACATACCGCATGATCTTAAGCCGCCTTTGGCTCTGGCCTGTTTCGTCATCTCCAAGAGCTATCTTATGGCATCTTTTCATTTGATCTCTCAATAAATTTGATGAGATAGGGAGGGACAAGGGAGCTTTGAAATCGCAAATCTTTGAGATTAC